AATTTATGTTCATCTACATTTGTCAAAATTACCACATTTGGTGACTTAAAAGAGGTAAATTAGATTAAATCTCACTTCTGTTTAGAGCTAAGCTAACTGGCTATGCACTGTTAGCTTGAAGCCAGGTAGCTTTGCTAGCTTTATGTTTATCCCATAAATTTGGTGGTTAATGAGGTAAGAAACAATGGAAAAAGGTAAATTGCCAATAACTTTAAACTTCTTTGCTTAAGAACTAATACAAAAACCTTAAAAACCCAATAATACCTTAAATGTAACAAGAGAAAATTTGAAGCCCTAACATTTATCCTGTTACCTGGAAAAATATTTTGTTGGGGCAGACATAAGGAGAACATTTGTGCGTCTTTCATCACCGACGTTTATTTTTCAACCGACAGGCCTGTTTTCCTGCCTCTGACAACCCAATACATCTCAGTCCATATGGATGTGATGAAGTCATGGGGTGATTTATAGGTTGGCCGTGTGAGGAAAAGCAGTTTCCATGCTCGGTGGCCTCAGGGAGTTTACCATGGTCCGTACAAAAGCTGCCTGCTTTTAGGGATACTTTAGCTCCACAAGCAGACGACACCATGGAGTCTGGCTCACAGAGAACTTTTTGTTCCACCTTGCTGCTACAAAACCAGTTTTTCATCGAGATGTCAAGTTTAACTTGTTTCTGAAAAGAGACTGCCGTCTTTGCGAAAGGTTTATGTTAGAACTGACGAATAAATATTGAACCATTTAAACCAATTTAGGTACTTTGCTTTTGTTTGTGTGTTCATTTTCTGGTGTAGATCAAACTATTAAAGAGATTCTTGAATAGCTTTATAAGAGGTCATTTACAACCCCAAACAAACCCCCTAAAATGCCTGAAAACGCAAAGAAAAAACAAAAACTAATTCAGGGTTTAAGTCGTAAACCTAACGATGCCGGAATGCAAATAGCCTGGGGGGAGGGTGGGGTATGGGGGTCTTTTAAATAAAGTAGATGCCCTTTCCTGCATTCTGGTGTATTTCAACACGTTGTTAAATATCTGCATTTACCTACATAAGTAAACACTTGATTCAATAACTATTTTAAAGAGCAACAAGAAGTAGCCTGACCAACAGCTCTCCTTGTGTGAATAAAGCATCCTCCGCTTCTCTCAAGCATCTTAAATACCCCCCATATTAAGTACTATCTACACTGCCACTGCCTTCATGTGCTTTAATTTAATTTAAAAGTTTAGTTGTACAATGAGAACTTTAAAAAAAAGTAAATTGGAATGTCTTTTCAACATTAGATCGCTGTCACTTTGATAACTTGGCGCCGTTGTTTTGCTACGTAACGTACGTCACGTGATTACCCATCAAACTTTTCTCTTGTATTTTTAATAAATAATCAAAATTTTAGTAATGTCCCACTTAAACTGTAAAAACTGACTTGCAATTTAGTTGTGCTGATTAATTATATTTTTGGGTTTTTTATTAAATTGCCCATGACTGTACTTTTAGGGGTGGAGATTTTTTTAAATGGTAGAAGCGGAAATGTTTACTTGAAGGGGCAGCTCTTATGTGATATTAGGAAACTCGTAAATGGCTGTTGTATTTAAAATTTGTGTCTATGTACAGTAATTTTTTTCAGATTGCATATCCAATACAGATTTTATTTGTTCAAGGCAGACAAATTTGTTCATCATAACTTTATTATTAGTAAACCTGAGAGTTACTGGAACGCACCCTGTCAAAATAAGAGTCCCCAGATCCTGTTTCAGCAGGATTCAGCTCAAATTAAGCCCTGCCCAAATTTAATTAGATGTTGTTAATAAACCCTTTGGAATACAAATAAAAGCTTGATCTTTATGTAAAGGTAACACTCTGAATTTTTAACAAAATTTTTGTAACTATGGCTGGTATAGGTATGAAAGAAAAAATAATCAAAGGTCATGAATTGCTCTTTTTTACATAAGAGCTTACAAAAACAAAAGTGACATACAGTACCAATATTGTATGGACTGGTAAAGACGTAAAGAAGTTATAACAATTTTAGTCTCCAAAAATTACTCTCATTTTTCCTTTGGTTTAACATTGAAAACCAAAAATAAAAATTGTTCAATTCACCTGCATCAAACAACAAATTACCATAACTACCTAATTTCTTGGGATAACTGGATATTTTCATGAGAAGTAGGAAATGATGTGTTCTTTACATCGGCTAATGCAGTAGGTTCCCAACCCTGGTCCTTGAGGAACACCATCCTGCATGGTTTAGTTGTTTCCCTGCTCCAACACACCTGGTTCAGTGATTTAATCACTTCCTCGTGTTCTGCAGAAGCCTGTTAATTACCCATTAATTAAAATCAGGTGTGTGGGAGCAGAGAAACAACTAAACCATGCAGGATGGTGTTCCTCAAGGACGAGGGTTAGGAACCCACGCATTAAATAATTAATAAATAACAGAAACCATATGATCCAGAACAGTCAAGCAAATGAAATAGGCACTAATACTCAAAACTATTTTGGGACAAAATAACTGGATCAAGGAGAAACTAAATAGCTGTTTTGCTTCCACCATGACAGGAAATTAAGCACCACGTTCATGGTCTCAAACATCACATTCTCAACATCAGGTCGTCATGAAAGTCGGTCTGGATTTAGATTAAATGTTATATTTTAGCGTCATCTAGCTTTGAGTGCTGAGCCCACCTATGCTTGTGAAGCTTGTTGAGCGACATTTATACTGCACCAACAAACGGCAGTGTATCCAATCAAATCTGTGGTGGTAACTTCCTGGTGGAATCCAGAATCCCAAGAATTCAGAGGGAAATACCAGGGGGCCGATGAAGAATGCAATAATTTGAGGGAGTCTTGTATCACGCTACGTACACCATAACCGTAGACTGGAAGAGTTCAGTCAGCTGTGACGCAGGGATTGTCTTGTACAGAACTGGTATGTACGTATTTAAGTCTGGACTCACAAAAATCAAATAAAGTTACAGATTTAGTTCCAACTGGCAGTTCAAATTTGACAGTATCACAAAAAATGACTGTTCTGATGTTTCTGTGTACGTCCATGCGTTTTCCCCAAGTATCCGTTGGGTGTGCATGGACAGAACATGCAAACTCCACCCAGAAAGGTTCTGGGCTGAGATTTGAACCGACAACCTTCTCGCTGAGAGGCAACACCATCTGAGACACCCTGCTGCCCCTCCACCATCTCATCACAGCTGTATTTTCTTTGTCAGAATGTTTAGCCATAATTTAGTTGAACCCAACAAAAAGTATTTTTCACTTTTCCACACAACAGCCACAACTTACCTGCTCATGTGGCGCCTTGCTAAGGCGGGGATTCGACCGCAGCTGCTAGCTCTGATCCATTCGAGGGACAAGCGTGTGTCCTTCCAGAGGACTGGACGCTCGGTTGATACCAGTGGCTCTGGAGGGACCATAGATCAGTGGTGTCCAGTGCTGGCCCTCCAGAGCCACTGGTATCTGTGTTTTGGAGGTTTCTCCACTCCAACACACCTGATTTGAATCAGTGGGTGATGAAGAGGCTTCTGCAGAACATGAAGAGGTAATCCAATCATTGAACCAGGTGTGCTGGAGCACAGAACCAAATAAAACATGCAGGACAGTGACCCTTGAACGCCAGGGTCAGAAGGGCTACACCTACACAATTATGTTTACATGTATTTAAATTAAAAACCTTGAAAAAACTGTATGAAACTCTGCATTAAGATGTATATCATGAAAGCCCGTAGGCGGGCTGCCGTCAGGTAACTAAATTATGGCAGTAAATAAAACAGTATACAACTAAAACAAAGGACCAAGTCGGATACCCACCAATAAACAAGAGACATAATATTTTATGCATTTATTCTAAAACAAAAAATATATAATTCAATAAATATTGTTGCAACAGCATTGGCAAAGACATTTTGAAGATGACATCGACATTCAAGAAGACATGAGTCAACACAACAACAACACATTAGAACATGAAGAACCTGAACGAACCAACTGGAGTTAAACGGTCAATTAAAAAAAGTGCTTTCATACATGTTGACATTTAAAACCGCTCCACTGCACCACCGTTTTGAAGCGATAACGTAATTTTATCTCGAGACTTTGCACCGTTTACGTTGTAAAATGCGATATTTCAAATGAAAGAAACTGGAACAACTAAAAGTTTCAAATTGTTTGGGAAAAACAAACTCTGTCCATTGAGTCAGTCTGGGCAGAACTGGGCACCAGTTTATTTTTCCATTTAGCTTTTATTTATCCAGGTGGTCTCATTGAGACGAGAGAACTCATTTTCAAGAGAGACCTGTTTAGAGAGCAGATGCTGGGTAAGGGCCTTGCTCATGGGTCCAGGGTGGGGCGAATGAGGTTGGGGGCGTGTGGGTGCTTCGCCTACCCCGCCCACATTTTTGATGTTGGTACCGGGGATTGAACCGGTGATCACAGGCCCACCTTCTCTAGCCTCTGCGCCACCACTCCCCCGTGGCTTGAACGGGCTAACCCTTGACTGACGAGGTCTCGATTTTAAAACTGAGCGTATGGGGTCATTTTGACCCAAGGGCAGCAGGAGGCTAGCTGCGCGGTTGAACAAGATGCTAACTTTGTGCCGTTAAGCTGCTAGCTTACACAGGGGAGGTTTCTGTGAACTAGCTTGTTAGCCCATTAGCTAACGGGTTAAAGCGTGTCCTAAAATGAACCATTTCAGTTTTATGGGACATATTTTGGACTTTCTTGGCATTAAACTTGCAACACAGCCAGAAACACCACCCTTCGTTTTACACTCAGAACTGTATTTCTGAACCAAAACCCACTAAAGCAGCAGTTCCATTTCAACAACTTGCTATTTGAAAGCTCCACATTATTTTAGGCTTAGAGTTCCAGACAGTTAGAAATTTGTCATTTATGTTAGTTATCCAAATTTTTGACTCACACTTTCATCTTTAGGCCCACTATGTGAGACTCATGTTTGTGGTGGCTCCTCGGACTGATGAAGTCCTTTGGATGAAGGACGAAACATCCCAACAACAAAAAAACAACCGTCCAGATGACCTGACTGAACTTTGTAGCATTTTTGGTATATTCTTGTGGGGAGACAGAGCTTTTCAGAAACAATAACTTATCTTATTTCACAGTCTCCCCATCGCATTGCGTCCTAGAAACTTGAATGACGAAGTTTTCCCTGTTTTTTTCTACGTTTGTCTTAATTTATCCTGAACCTGTCAATAACTTTTAACCATTTGCTCAATTTCTTGGTTGCTGTGGATGTTTGACACCACGTCGTGTGGATACAACGCCCCATTGGTTAAAAAACGTTTGAACAGAGGTTGTAATAAAAACAACCTAAAAATAAATATCCAGCGTTCTGTTGAAAGGGCATTTGTGACATTTAATGGTTTAATACACCTTATCGTTAGACTTTTATTTTTCATAAACATTTAGTTGTTGAAGTGAAGCCTCTTTCACTCAGTTCCTCATGATCAGATCTACAGAATGAAGTACAGCTAAAACAACGATGCAGACACAAACAAACAACTTCACATTATACCAACAAACGTACACCAGAGACAGAGTTTCCTCGCTCAGTCTCCTCTGCAGACGGACCGACAGTTACCGGAGCAGACGTGAGCGTGAATCAGTTTCAAACACAGTGATGAGTTGTCATACAAGCCCTTCGAGCAAAAAAGTTGTTGATCCGGCACAAACAGCTCCTCTTTTCTCTTCCGCCCGAGGCAACAACCACCCCCTCCGACAATCCCTGGCTTTGGCTCTCGTTCAAAAGATTGCACGTTCTAGAAAAACCTTCACATGTGAGAAATGACATCACTCCCTCCTCCTGCTCGCTTCCTGTTCCTGTTGCCGAGAAAAGCCTTGGCTGCATCCGCTTTGGCCTCAGAGGGGAAGCAGGTCTCTTCCCAGAGCAGGTAGCTCGCTGACTGATGGGTTCCTTGTCTGGTGGGATCGGGGGAGGGGGTACATCGATTGGGATGCTACTACACAACGAGCCTCTATTGGTGCAGAATATTCCAGTAACAGTATCTGAAGCTTATAAAATCCCCTTTCCAGACAAAAATAAAAAGTATTTTGCATGCAGGACAGAGCTTTGGCCCATAGCTTCCTGCTTCCACGATGCACAGTCCTCAGTTTGACCCCCCTATTTCACAGTCTGATAAGTCACATGACCGAACAACTTTTGGCCTTGTCCTTCCGGAGGTCCGTGGCGACGGCTGCCAGGTCAGGCCGACCAGGCATGTGTGAAATCCTCTTGGTGGCACGTGTGGTCTTGCCCCGTTTGACGTTCTTGTTGCTTTTGTTGATGCAGGCCAGCGTGGCCATGTGGAAAATGTCCCTGACGCTGTTTTCTGACTGCTGAGCCGAGCACTCGATGTAAGGAGCCGAGATCTGCTTGGCCATGCTGGAACCCTGAAAAAGAAAGATATAAAGAATACTGTCAACAATGAAAAGGAAAATCTTAAGAGTCAGAATTCGTAATGCAAATCCACTGTTTAAAAAGATGGCGTTCATCAGGGTTCATGTCTCAGCCCACTGTTTATTGTTGTGATGGACGCAGTTACAGAGCTTCTTAGGAAAGAAGTGTCATGGGATATGTTGTATGCAGATGAACTAGTTGTGGCTGGAGATTCTGAAGATAATCCCCAAGATAGTTTTAGACAGTGGCAGCAGGCATTTGAGAGTTAAGGTCTGAAAATAAACGCAGCAAAAACAGAGACCATGGTCTGCTCGAAAGCTAATGAGACCTTACCAATTACTGACAATAGAGGAAACGTACTGAAGCAAGTCAAAACGTTCAAGTGTCTGGGGTCGGTGATAAATGCCAAAGGAAGCTGTAAAGAAGACGTTAAATGCATAATTGGTATGGCGTGGCAAAAATGGAAGGAGTTGACAAGAGCGCTTTGTGACCAAAGGATGCCGATTTATATTAAAGGGAAAGTGTACAAGACGATGGTGTGCCCCGTCTTGCTTTGTAGAGCTAAAGTATGGACATTAAAGGAAAAGGAAGAGGAACTCCTGTAAAGAACAGAAATGTAGATTCTTTGAGTATCCCTCAAGGATAGGCGGCGAAATGGCAAATCAGAAAAACGCTCAGCATGGCATGCATCACGAATAAGAGACAGGAGTCAAGAATGAGATGGTATGGGCATGTGCAGCGAGTGAAAGATGAAAAGGTAAAAAGGCTATTAAACGCAGACATTTTTGGACAACGAAGCAGAGGACGGCAGAAGAGGTGGATGGATATGATCCAGCAGGATATGAAGGCACTCCATCTCACAACAGATGATACATGAAACAGAGCAAAATGGAGAAGAATCCATGTGGCTGACCCTGCTCTGAAAGGAGTGGGACCTACAGCCCGAAGGAGAGAAAGAGAGAGAGACTTTTTAAAAAGCTACATGAGACAAAAATCTCTTTACCTGGTCGTAGGAAACGGGTGTCTGTCTATGGTTGGACAGCTCCACCAGGGTGCTCAGGTCAGTGCGTAGGTCCGATTTGCAGCCAACTAAAAGCATCTTGGTGTTTGGACAAAACTCCTGAATCTCCCCTTTCCACTGTGGAGAAACAAATGACCGTTGAGCCACAACTCAACTGATTTTGTCCAACGTTTATCTAATCAATGCTTCACAAAATTAACACAAACCTTTAATTCAACTAGTCTTTAACTGATGATTTTACAGCAACAGTAGCCGAATCAGATTTGAAGTCCATGCACTTACGTAGGCTAGAATGTTCGGATAGAAGATTCAGTGAGTTCCAACCCATCCAGTCACACGGCCTTAAAGTATGAAGCTTAAAACTGGCCCTTCTTGGACCCCCATGTGCTTAGAACTTGGAAAGCAGCTACAAAAAAATCCCCGTTTTCTCCTGAACAATAAATGCTCTGATCAATGGCATTTCTATTGTGGATTTAATCTGAGGCTAATGTGTCTCAGGGCTGGCTGGCTGCAGGTCAGAGGATCAAGCTAATTAACACGCAAAGAGGAAGTTGTTCAATACAATGCATCTATACAAACAGTCCTTGATTTAACCCCTGAACAGGCTCGGGATAAAAACTAATCTTGGCATAAAAAAAAACTGAGCAGCAACTGAGACTAGAGGTTTAGCCTTTCAGTTTTCACATCCTCAGGGGGTGGGGATTACGTTCTACATTCTTACTTTAAGTCAAATAAACATGACGAGGAGCTCTGCTGGACCTCGACACATGACCTCAATTATTCAAAGTGAGCTTGCTGTCAGAGGAAGCACACAGATGGTTGGGGAGCCTACAGTTGTGTCTGATAGTTTCTGTAGCACTACACCTTTGGAATCAAACAAACTAGGCTAAAATAAACCTTGGTGCCGCTGACGTTAATCCATATGGGTCTTCCTAGTTCCTAATAAGAGTACCGCATACGGGACATTATACGCCCATCGACGAACTAATATACAGCAATCTATAGCAAGGGCACGGACAAGCAAAGACCTTGTCTAATCTTTGACCTTCATTTGTGACCTTGATCTTGAAGCTGGGGTTATGAAAACTGTATGTGACACACTGTGTAGAGGTGTTTTAATTTGTACCAAGTTTTGTAAAATTATCTTGAGCGTATCGGAAGTTGTGGGTGGGACAAGCAACGAGCTTGTATAACATTTGACCTTGATTTTTTTTACCTTGACCTTAGTTCTGGAGTGATTGAAAGAGTTTGCAAAACTCTGACTAGTTATAAAGTATATGTGTATGAAGTTTTGGTAAACAATCTTGAGCGAATCAAAAGTTATGAGTGGGCAAAAGAATATTTACGTACTGATTGAGACCACACCATAATACGTCTGCTTTACGACAGTCGTTAAAAAATTGAAGAAGCTCCTCAGATGAGGAGCTTGAATTGAAGAAGCTCCTCGGATGAGGAGTGAAACGTCGTCTGTTACAAATAAAGTCCAGTTGTTTTTGTATTGAACGTTTTTTTTAACTACTTGGGAAAACAACGTAACTTGTTTCCAAAACTGTCCACTTTTACTTTGTGGCCAAGAAACTAATGGTACTTTTTCAATGTCTCAACTCTCATCGGTTCCACACCAGTTAAGGGTCTCCCCATTGCCGGTACCCACCCCTACTCAGCCTGGTTTACGGGACCACCTTGTCCGTGGTTCCAAGCGAACTGCTCCGAGCCGACGATTTTGACGTAAGCAAACAACAGCCGTTGATGGACCAGCGGAGCTACGCCAATGAATGACCCGCCCAGCAAAAACGCGCACTACATCTGAACCTCCACTTCCTCATCGTGCTGACCGACGGCGCCACAAAAAATCAACGCAAAAAGCTATTGGAGATGATGGCGCAGCGTGGCTACACCTGAACTTATAAGCAGTGTCGGGACAAGCTAAATAAATTGACGTCCGATTATAGGGTGACTAAGAACCACAAGGGACTGAATGGCTCCAACACAATGACCACTTACGGTACTGCCCACTTCATTGACGATCCCGCCCAAAGAGCGGGGAACCAAGTCACTGTGGCAAATCACGTTAACCTGAGAAGAACCAATAAGACGAAAGCCGAGCGGAGTCGTACTAATCAATGGCAAAGTAGCTTAAAAGTACAACAGACGCTGTTTTACAGATTTCTTTCTTAATGGCCGTCTTGGTTTATCGTGGTCCTGTCGCCATTAAACCTTGAAAGTGCGCTAACAAGAATACGTTAAAAGAAATGTATCAACTGTATGAAAGGCAAAACATTAAAACTACAGAAGGTTCCTCTGTAGAGGAATGTGCTGTTAGTTTGGATGATTTCGCCGCCTACTGGCGTGGCAATTAAAGTTTTTTGTTGCAACGGTGTTAAAAGCGTTTGTATATTTTTTCCTATAAACCTGAATAAAATTAATCTAGTTATAAATAGTGCAGACAAGGGTTTAGTTTACATTAGAACAGTTAAAAACAAAAACCACTAAAATCTAGTTTTCTTTCAGTTTGACTAAAGGACAGCTGCTCAATGTCTTGTCCTGTTCACTTCTGGGCATGTGGGACAACCAGTCAAACAGCGTTAACCACTAAGCAGTTTCACGAGTTACTGGTGGTTTAGCTGCACTTGGAGACTTCTGCGTCCAGCCTGACTGGGGAATGAGCACACACTACCTCCCAGAACCACGACAGCTTTAATGCTCCACATCACAAGGTCTAATGTGACCACAAAAATGTCCTGTGACTGTAAATTTGAGGTTTCAGCTCTGGTAAATGCTGCATAGTTCTTGTTAGGAAATCAAGCAAGGTTGAAAGACTTGTTTTTAAGAAACTGTGTTTTTTAATCCTTAGCAAAAAAAAAAAAAAGTCAAAGTTAGGACGGCTTTATTTAAAATTTTAACAAGCTTGGCATGGCCCAGCTTGTAAATACGTCTCTGACTGGTTGGAACAATAGACCTCATTTGATAAACACTTACTTCAGCTATTAAAAACGGGACCGTAAAAACACTGTAGGTTGTTGTGTTTTTATCATTTTTGAACATTATTGACATATGGACATTGCCATTTTATTTACAGTGAAATGTATTCTGGGTAAATGATGTAGACAGTTTGCTTCCTTGCGAGCTCCACTGAGCCTGAACGTTAATTTTAGATGTCATGTTAAACCCTTAAATTTGAACCGAGCACGTTTATTTGTTTATTTACATTTATTTAACCAGGCAAACTCCACTCTCTGTTGCAAGGGAGACCTGGGCCATAAGACAGCCTAAGACATGTTTTTGGACTGGGAGGAAACTGGGGTACCAGAAGAAAACCCACGCACACGCAAGGAGCACATGCAAACTCCACACATAAAGACTACAGGTTCAAACTGGGGACAGATAAAAGCATTTGCTACAGCAATAAAATATATATGGTGTTAGCTCCAGAGCTAATAAATATGGTGTTAGCTCCGGAGCTAATATATATGGTGTTAGCTCCGGAGCTAACATATATGGTGTTAGCTCCAGAGCTAATAAATATGGTGTTAGCTCCAGAGCTAATAAATATGGTGTTAGCTCCAGAGCTAATAAATATGGTGTTAGCTCCAGAGCTAATAAATATGGTGTTAGCTCCAGAGCTAATAAATATGGTGTTAGCTCCAGAGCTAATAAATATGGTGTTAGCTCCAGAGCTAATAAATATGGTGTTAGCTCCAGAGCTAATAAATATGGTGTTAGCTCC